TGTCAAATGGTAATCAAAGATTCCAACAACTACAACCAATCTCAATACAAATATAAATCATTATAGTACATTCAAACATTGTAAAATTCATTCTAAGACCTAGAAATCACAATTACAATGAAAGAAGTAAAGATTGGAAGAGCTGAAACTTCCTTTTGAAGCTCCAAGTTCAAGCCATCAACACTGTGCTAGAGAATTGAAGGATTTAGCTATATCTAACCATCACAACAGCTCTAATCAAGCTCCAATTTGATGGAGCCATGAAGAACAGTGAAGAATCATTGAACTCTCCCTTTCCCTAGAACCAGAAGCAGTGATCGAAGATGATGACAAAGGTGGAATTGAACATATGTGGGAGAGACAATGATGGTGAATTCTGATAAAGAATGAGGTAGAGTTTGCTGGCTGTGAAGACTGTAAGTTGCTAACTCACTCTGCCTCCTCTGGTCCTTCATTCTGTCATGCCCAAAAGAAGAAGAAGATCAAGACGATGGTGATGATGGAAGACTCTGCCTCACGCTGTCGCTGGTTCTCACGTTGAGTCGCCTCTCACTCTCATCTGCCTCCCTCTGCTCTCTGTTTTCTGGTCTCCTCATCGGTCACACCTCTCGCTGTCGAACTCCTCTTTGCCACCAGGAGGATTCAGCGAAGACGAAGATGGTGGTGATGGGAGAGAATGGCTCAAGACCGTGCTTCCTCCATCAAGCTCCTTTGGTCTGTGATGCTGTCGCCGGCGGCCCTGATCGTCTCCCTCTCCCTTGCTGTTCGCTCTCTACCTGTGTATCCCTTTCTGCCATCACTCCCTTGCCCAAAACGAGATGATGATGGTTTAATGTTTTAGGTCAGGACGCAAAACGCAATGTTTTGCTCCCCTTTTTATTATTATTATTTTTATTTATTTATTTATGTTATATTTTTTTTATATTTTCATTTTATTTTAAAATCTTCTAAAAACCTGCAACCAAAATTCAAGAATAAGATAGCATTAATTGTCCTTAAAGATCAATCAATCACAAGTATGACAAATTTACCCTATTATGTACTAATTCGAGTTAAAGCATTCTAATATGAAGTATACTCAAATAATACAATCAAGGACCAATAATAATGACAAAAACCCACCAAAAATATATGAAAATGCATGTAAAAAGATAGGTTTGTCAGACTAACAGTCAACATAACAGAAATTAATGGTTATGGTATTTTTGCCCTCACTTTGGAAGATTATAGGTATTTTTGTACCTCCAAAAAGGTTATGGTTATGAGTATACTTTTAGGATAAGTTTATGGGTATTTTGTAACTTCGCCTTTATATTTACAGGTCTTCGTTTTTTTTCATGTTTCTTTTTGGCCAATGGAGTGTTTGTTTCAATCCCACACAATAGGCAATAATAATGCGTGTCACCTGCTAGGAGACTGAGATTTCTTTCATTGGTTAGTTTCTTATGAGGAAATTCATACTATAATTTATTTATATAGTACTATGTTGCTAGGGAAAAAGTTTATTTATAAATACAAGTTAGTTGTAAGTTTTTTTTTTGATAGTAGGGATAATGATAACAAACAAACTGAGAATCAGATGTCAACGAAAACGAACTATCCTACACCTTCCGCATTCAACACATTCATGACGCTAGAGGGGCCTAAGATCTGAAATCCCAGGCTAAGGTTCAAGGTGAACTTGGCGAGCGTATCGGCTCTTGTATTATCCTCTCTACGGCATTGCTTCAGGTCGATTTGCCAGTCTCTGTTAAGGACTTGCTTCACTTCCATGATCAGGGACCAATCCTCATGTAACTCAGGGACATGACCTCGTATCAAGTGCAAGGCCTCGTAACAATCCGATCTCAGCACAGCATCACGGATTCCCATATCCCAGGCTCGCTTAAGGCCGAGGAGACAACCCCAAAGCTCCGCAGTCAAGGCGTCTCCTAAGCGAAGTCTTGAGTAAAAGCCTTCCCTCACCTGGTTCGAGTCATCCAGGATAATGCCACCGCACGCGGCTACATCCGAGTCATAAGCGAAAGTGTCGTCAACTTCAGTCATACATCTTCCTTCCACAACCCTGGCTCCATCCTCCACTGCCGTTGGGGTACTCGTCAGTTTCACGCTATGAATCTTGTCCGTGATCTTGTTCATGCATGCAAGGATTGCCTTTGCATGTTCTATCATGCCATCTAGTTGCCTAAAGCCGTTATTGAAGACCAAGTTGTTCCGGTTTTGCCAGATAGCCCAGCAGGTAACGACGAACATCCCTTTCCAATAGCAGTCCTGATTACTGGGATTTTGTTTCATATTCAACTTGATCCAATCCTATAGAGGAGCATTAAAAAAGCAGTCCAGGGCTTCCGGTTTCACGTGACTCGCCCACATTCTTTTCACCACCTCACAATCCCGAAGTGCATGGGTGATGCTCTCCATACGGGATCCGCATCGAGGGCACGTTCCATCAATGTGCATGTGGCGTTTAAGTTTAGCCTCATTTGTGAGGAGACGTTCATGAGCCATTATCCAGGCAAAGGTTTTGCATCTTTGTGGGATCTTTAGCTTCCATAGAGCTGCCCAGTTCGCCGTACTGTTCTGGGGTGGGTCGTTGAGGCTGCAGTAGGCCGACAAGTCAGTTGTAAGTTAACTAATGAGCATTTGTTAGTCTTGCTCTAGTTGGTTTAGATAGATGAGAAAAAAATATAAAACATATTTTTTAAATACCCTTCCTTTAATAAGAGCAAAATGTGTAAAAATTATTAATTTAATATATTTCGTGGTTTGGGGGATTACAATACAAGTGACTTATAAATAGGAATAAAGTAGTGAATCAAATGGATGAGCTATCTCTTGCTCCTTGTATGAGCCTTCTATTGTGCTTTGCAGTTCTCCTTCTAGAATATAGTTTATTCCTGCACTGATTACTAGAAAAATCAAATGGATGAGCTTTTCTTGTATCTTGTTGGAGTACCTGATTAGTGGCGGTGCAGAGATCTTTCAATGATTTAAACTCGAGTGGTAGACGAAAAATGAGTTAGAAGATTGAACCCTGATTTTGTTTCCTATCTTGCTCTGAATCAATCCATCTCTGGCTTTAAAAGGAAAGGGGAAAAAAATTAAATTCAGTGTAAGCAAAAAATGACATCAGCTGCTTATGTAATATGCCAAATAGGATTTTATATGCTCAAATTTAAGCTGAGTCATGGGATTAATGGTGAGCACAAAGCTTTTGTTAGCCTGGAATTTGGGTGTGCCATTTTAATTATTTCAGGATATTGGGTGTAGCACAACCAATTTTAGGACACTGGGCATACCTGAGAAAATAGTTCAGGGTGTTAAACGCATCTTAACCCTTAATTTTAACCAACTTTGGAATTTAGATAATTAAGTTTTTTTGGCCAAATTCAGTTATTTATTTCTTACAAAAAAAAACCAGGGAGAACTAGTCATAATATGCGTATAAACATTTTTTTTTAAAAGAGCCACTGTGAAAAGAAGTCACGCTTTAGACTGGCTTTAAATGATTATTTTCTTTCATAAGTAGAATAATATGCCCTTGTTTGGATTGATTTCATGAAAAAGGATTACATGTAATACTAATTTAAAAAACTGATTGAAATGTTTAGTTAGACTTTTATAAGGGAAAGGAGGCTACATTTTGTGACGCTGCTTCACTGCCTTAAATAGCTGCATTAGAATTACATTGTTGAGAGTCAAGACATAAATATACAGACGTCAATCAAATGCAAAACACGCTTCTGCTTATTTAATATAATACAAATAAATATAAAATTTTAATTCATCATGTATTTGTATAGACAGGATAATTTTATCTTTTAATTTATTATTTCTATTTATTCACACGTTCTTTGTAATCTAATCCATTTTGTCTTCTAAATTTATAATGCATTCTGTAAAGCATCCTTATTGATTACATGTATTAAAGAGTTTCCATCTAAGAATAGTAATGATCAATTAAAAGGATATTTTTAAAAAATCGACTTATATTTGCTACAAATAATTAACTTAACTAATAATTTTAAATCAATCTAAATTAGTTAAGTAGCCCTCATATTAGGCACTTGAGGTAGTATTCTCTTCCATTTTTTTAGCCTGTGAATTTCATTCCCTTTATTTTAGGGTTAATATAATTTTTGGTCCTTCATATTTGTTCTCATTTTGGTTTTAGTCCCTTAAACTTCAAACTATGTGTTTTAGTCCTTCTAGGAACAAAATGGTCCATATTTTTGTTGAATTATAGTGACCAATGTTTTAAATGAAAATAAATTTGAGGTACCACAACCTATTATTTGAAATTTAAGGGATCAAAATCAAAATGAAGGCAAAGTTGGGGATAAAAAGTTATATTAACCCTTTATTTTCAATAAAAAAATTCGCTAAACATGCTCTAACTGATAAAGAGAAGTCAGTTTCTTGTTTTTTTTTTTTTTAAAAAAGACGATAGGCTCTTGACTCTCTAGTCAATATATATTGAATAAATATCAATCGACTCACTAGTCAATAGTCAATATGTTGAATAAACATTAGGTACGCATTGAATTGATTTTCCACACATGTTTGGACTTCGACTATACAAATGTTAACGTTCTTTGGCGGTCGATCTGTGACCAATTATATTGTAGTGTTCATTCACATATTCTACTACCCCTGTCCTAAATATAAAAAACAAGAGCAAGATTTTATTTAAGGGGTGTTTGGTTCAATCTAAAAGCATTTTTAAAGAGTGCTTTTACACAAATTGAGACAAAATTCATTTCACATACTTTGTATATCATAAAATTATTTTTAAAATCATTGTTTGGTTTTCACCTAAATATTCTCTTAATTCTAAATATAAGACCACAGTCTATTTTTCTGATCAAGCACAGTAGGTATTCAGTCGGTATAAGAGTCCAAAATAATCTTTAAAAGAAGAGTTGTTTAACTACTTTGGGGAAATAAGGGGAAATAACTCAATTTTTAACTTAGGCTCTAATGCTTAAGATGGCTAAACTATGGGTAATGAATTGCATCGAGTTAAAATTCAGGGATCAATAATTTCAACATGAAAACCGTAGATGTTGACTTACATTAGGTTAAAAGTCCAGGAATTGAGTTTTTTTTTTTTTTTGACCGGAGTCCAGGAATTGAGTTACAACTTAGAAAAAATTATAGGGACCAAATGATTAATGTTTCCTTGTTTCAGGTTGATCCAACCAAAATGAATTCTATAATAACGAACTTTCTCACCAAACGTTGAACGAAGAAACAATCTCATACGAGCATGAATCACACCAATGAGATCAATGAACCAGCTCGAAATTGTGAAGCACGATACAAGTCAAATAGAAATTGACATACAACATTTAATGTCCCCCCCCCCCCAATAATCGGTATCAAGAATTGCACTATATATAAGCTTATGAGCTTATTTCAAGTTTGGGGAAAAAAATGATAAATAGGTAAGGCAAAGTGAATTGATGTCTTATATTTTGAATTGAAAATCCAGCATCCCAACTAGCTCTTATATTAGGAACTGGCAATATTATTATCTATGACCATAGACTTGACACACAAATATATATAGTACACATGCCCACATGATTAAGTGATGTCATTCATATCCCAAACAAACGGGACATGTAGAATCATTTTTAATTGGTTCTTCCCTTGATCCTCAATGGACTCATAGATTTATGTTTAACGATGATTCGCAGGTAGTTGCTGGGCATTTGCGGCTGCTGCAGCCATTGAATCAGCACATGCAATAGCCACAAGGGAACTAATTACCCTTTCTGAACAACAACTCATAGATTGTGATTCAAAGAGCCAAGGTTGCTCAGGAGGATGGCCCTCTAATGCGTTTGATTGGGTTACAAAAAATGGTGGGATTAGAAGAGAAGATGATTATCCTTATTCCGCTCAACAGGGTTATTGCAGAGCCAACATGGTATCTGTGTGTGCGTGTGCGTGTGTGTGTTTCTCTACGTATATTTATATGTTTCTCTTTGTCTAACTTGTTTCTTTATATATGCTTCTTAATCAGAATGGGAATAGTGCCATCAAAATTAGTAACTATCAACGTGTAACACCATCAGATGATGCTCTCTTGTGTAACGCCATCAGATGATGCCCTCGTGTAACACCATCAGATGATAAATTCTGAGGAGTAAGTATCAACATTATTTCATTTTTAAGTTTGATCTGATTACTTTTTTATTATTTGTAGGGAATTTATGAAGTTGAGGATTGCCCCAGGGAATCAAACAATTTGACTCATGCTGTTTTGATTGTTAGATATGATTCAAATGATGGAAAAGATTATCGGATTGCGAAAAACTCATGGGGAGAAGATTGGGGAATGAATGGATACATCTTGCTCCGAAGAAATATGGGTTTACCAAATGGAGTTTGCTCTATCAATACTGCAGCTTTCTACTCAACCATATAAGTGTCAAGTTCTTGTTTTATGTCATGAATTTTTAGTAAATTGTCATAAATTATTGATTAATTACAGTGAAGCACATTATATATTTTGTTATTTATGATCATATAAATATATATATAGCATATCTCAAGTATACCGTCACACCTCTCTTTAGAATCCATTATATGTCAATTGAAACCAATATAAGTCGTTTCGTAACGTTTCCGGATGAAAAATTTTGAATTTCAGGATTTCACTGTTCATCCTGTCCGTATACTATTCATACGAAAATGAGCTAATTTTGAAAATTCATAACTAAATCTAGAAAAATCAAAATGAAGTGGTTCTAATTTTCACACGAATTTTGCTAAGAGTTATATAGAGAAAAAATAATCATTAGGTCCGATTCAATCCAGAATAATTCTAGGAAATTCGTCAATGTGTACTATTTATTTGGTAAATTTTTGAATTTCCAGTATTTTTGCCCAACTTTGGAAGGACATAACTCTTAACACACAACTCTGAATTTGATGAATTATCACTTTTTTTAAAGCTAAAAATGAGATCTATTTGTCTGTAAAATTTCACACCCAGATTCCCATAATTGCTCATTATCTTATGTGCCACAAGTTTGGCACTTTTTAGGGAATTTCTATCCCCTAATTGCCACTTTCTTTGATTTATTTCCCCTTTTTTTTTCCACATCCATTCCATAATGTACCATGCATAATTCCAACATTAGGGTATGAGAATAAAGTATAATACACATCATAATATCATCCATAACTAGATACAACTATTACATAAAGTTCAATGATACCTTACACAACATAACATAACAACATTAATTACATATTGCTCCACTATCCCAATACCAATTCCTTGCCTTGATCCATGCTTAGTCCACTTCCTAATTAATGCATAAAATGACGTAGGAGGAATAAGATTTCAAAGAAATCTCAGTGGCATAGGAATTATAATTATCATGTAATTGCAAGTTAAATTGTAATATGTCATGCAATCCAATTCATTCCCAACTCATAGGAATTCATGCCAAATATCATGCAAGGAGAAGAACATTATATCATCCACATTGACATACCACAAAGCATTTGGCCAATGCATAACCAATGTCAATCAACAATCAAAGTCACCACAAAATTCCTTCAAATCCAGGCAACAACAAATCACAACAAACAAGCAAGATAAACAATCAAATTATAATTCAAAGCTACCTTTGCAAAGATTGTCCAACTAATTCCTCCAAGGAGCAATGCTTCTCCTTAATTCCTCCTCTCAATTCCTATTAAACCAACCATAAACATAGGCCCTATTAATCACAAGACAACTTAGTTCCAACACTTTAACATTACTTAACAATTTCCCCCTTTGTCTTTGATTTTTAACAAATTGATTCCTCCTTTAGAATCAACCATCTCATGACTCAATCCTACACAATTTTTCATGAGGAATCCAATGGTGCAATCAGATTTTTAAAATTCAAACTCCTTCCCCATGAACTCCTCTTGGCCAAATAGGGGGCTATATGCTTCCAAAAATTCTATTTTTGATTCCAATGATTTTAAACACTTTTCAACATTATATCCCTACGCAAAAACATGTTTTAAAGCCATTGGAATCATCAAATAAAGCAAAATCAAATTGCTTCTACATGAATAGTTCTGAACGAAATTCCTTCCCTTAAACCCTAACTTTGTTTTCATCCAAAAATCAATCCATACATCACTTAATCTTCCTTATTCCACTTAATTATTAAGGTTTTTATCCTTTCCTAAGCATCACACATCTCAACCGAATTTCTCAGAATTTTTCAGCATTTTTCTAGCGTTTTTCCAAGCAAAAATCCTTGTTTAATCAATGTAAAACTTAGAGATATTGATGCTTGAACGTACCTTAGTGTTTCCTTGAAGTAAGTTGGATGATCTCTTGCCTAAAACACCTCAAAATTTCGTGCAAGGGTGGCTGGATGAACAGTGACATAGTTTCTCCTTATTTTTCCCAATTTTCTAACATTTTTCTTGTATTTTCAAGGGGTATTTATAGAAAAAAAATCCATCTGCCCTCTCCCTCCTGATTTGCACGAAATTGGACACCCAAGGAGGTGTATGTGGCAGCCATCAAGTGTCCAAAATATTCAGATCACTCCATGTGGCATTTCTCTAGATTGTTCCACAAAAATATCTCTTAATTTCACATTTTATTTAATAAAAATAGTGGAATCTAGAAAGTGCACGAAATTAGGTCTTTAATGGGTCCATTTTGGGCCCCACAAATGTTTTGGGCTGGCCCAAAAATATGACCCACAAACCAAATCACTATCCTGAACTGATTTGAAACTTTATCGGTTACTATTCACTAGTAACATTCCATAATTTTTCCAGACCTCCAAAAATTCATTTCTCTCTATGATAATTCACCTTTTAATATGGGAGCATGATCTGAAAATTTTCAGAATTTTTCACTACTTCTAGGTATTTATTTTGAATTTTCTCCGATTAGGCCTTTATTGGTAAATCTGAGGGAAAATAAATTCTCTAAAATTAATTTCTAAGCCTCCAAGGTCTAAAACCAATTTTATAAATTCAAAAACATATTTAGATGAATTTTTCATCAATATCCTAAATTTATTGAGGCCTCTAACTCATTAAAATAATTATTTTCATTTATTTCCCCAATAATTTCCCAAAAAACTCCGTTTACGGGAAATCCCGTAATAATTCATTTTTACTGAAATTCCACCTTTTGGGCCTCAACTGAGTTTCCAAAACCTCTACTCTATACTTTTTCTATTTTTCGGGGATTTTTTGAAATTTTTCTCAAATTTTCCCGTTTTGTTCTTCCTAGACAGATAATTACAAAAATGCTAGCCCGGACCTTTTCGGGGTTTCATATCAAAAGTTGTTTCATCTCCCCGTCTTGTTCCTACATTGACCCTCATCCCAATTTTTGATCCTTTATTGCCAAATGAAAATTTTTGGGATGTGACATATACTATGTTTTCTAGCTTGTGCTTTTTGGCAGTTATGTGGTATTGGGTATATTGGGATCTAAAAATCTTTTGTGATGAACGTATAAGAAAACCTTCTTTGGATTTGCCTAAATTTTTGGAATTCTTTTATTTCTTTCATGGGTGGCCTCAAATACTTTATTTTAAAGCCCCAGAGAATTGCTGATTTACAAACTTGAGCTCAAACTGGGCCGCTCAATTATAATTGATAGAAAGTAAGTAAACTACTAGTGGCTGCCTGATGTTATGACACGTTGAGTTGCTCCTTGGTCATCGTTGGCAAGTTAAACAACTAAGCCTAATTATAAACTTCATAAAAAGTTGTTGCAAGATATTACAATTTGGGCTAATAAGTTCAAGCTCGGATTGTGCCACATTTATCTTGTGTGTGTGTGTGTGTGAGAGAGAGAGAGAGAGAGAGAGAGGCAAACAAGTAACGAATAAACCACTTATTTATTTGTAGCTCAAGTGACGTCAAATACTTTTTTTCAAGGCTTGTTTAAACTCCTTTTGGAATCACGTTTAAAATCACTTATAAACACGTTTTATGTAAACCGATGAGATAAAACTCCTTTCACATACTTACATCATATTCTATAAATCACAATTAAAAAGCTGTTTATAAGCCATTTTAAACGGCCCTAAGGTTGTAAACTCCACCTTTCAATAAATAGTACAATATAGTACAACGGTTGCTGAATTATGACAAGAAAACTCAATTGCTTGAAAGATAGACTCCTCTTGTGGGTGAAAAAACAAATGAGTAGAGTGTGAAGAACATTAAGTGAAGTTGACCTAAAAAATCTTTTTGGTGAGCATTCCAAGGTGTCGTCCAATAATCACGGTTAACCTTGTGAAATTCATATTATTTCAGCACATTTTTCCTTAATTATCATACTTTTTGGTGAATTAATGCATATTTTGAAGTATTTATGGTAGGAAAATGTGCATAGTTGATAGTTGGGCTAAAGTTATGAATTCTTGGTTAATTGTGAACATTGTGCCCCTAGTTCATCAACTTGGCTTTAATAGTTTGCCTTTCTTTGTTAGATGGTTGAAGGCTTGAAGCTTGCCATACGGAGCCATTTGAAGCAAATATTAATCCCATGAAGTTGGAAAGATACATAGGAAGCTATGACACAATAGAAAAATCAACAAAAGAGGAGATGCAAAACAGAACATTGTTGGCCTCAGCTAAGAGAATCTCTTGGTCTTAGGCAACAACATTCCAAAGAGTAATTGGCCACAGCCAAGATAAATCTTGGTCGTAGCCAAGATCGAGACAGAAAGGAATTGGCCGCAACTAAGAGAAATCTTGGCTGCAGCCAACGCAGAATTATTGATACTCTGCGTTTTAAAGATAGCACATGTCCTAGGGCTTTGTATGATGTATAAATCAAAGGGATGCACCGTTTTCATTCATTCTAGTCTTCTTAGGTGCGTTTGGGAGGTTTTTGGTGTGCTAGGGCATGGATTTTGATGGAGACTGAATTGGGGTTTGAAGTTTGGAAGAGATTTTGGCTTCATATCTTGGTTCTTCTTCTCCATTCTCCTTTCCTTTCTCATGTTCAATGCTTGTGCTAGTTTATCTGTCTTTCTTCATGGGATTTCTAAACATGCGTAGCTAAACCTTTGATTCTAGGATTATTTTGAACCTATGTATGGATTAACTCTTGATCTCTCCTCTGATTTTGTGATTAATGATATATATGTGTTTATTTTACCCCTTGCTTAATGCTTCTAAGTGCTTAATCACCATTTAGATGTTTTGTTCATTTGAGTGATGCTTGAGAGGGCTAGTTTGAGTGTAGAACTTGGGTAAAATTGTATAAGAACTTGAAGTTTGCATGTTGAATGGATGGTTTTGTTGGTAAGATAGAGATATACTTGCCAACCTTGCATAGTCAATTTAGGATTGGAGATTAAAATTGGGTTTTATTAATTGTAACAAGAGATTGAGCAGTTAATAGAATTCAACACTTGTTCTTGACTTGAG